AATACACAGGACTTATTTTCATACTAACAACCAATCAAATGCAGAAAAATCTTCGATATCTCAAGTAACTGGTTTGGTTAAGCCAGTGAGAGTTAGATTTCTTTCCTTTTTTAAAAAATAAATTAATTCTTGGGGTTCATCCCTGATGTGCTTGCTCTGTGGGCCCCACCATGGGGCGCACTGAGATTGCAACTAAGACTGGGCATGGTGTCTCCTGCCTGTAATCCCAGTGCTTGGGAAGCTGAAAACAGAAGAATCACTCTGAGTCTGATCTGTGTAGTGAGACCCTGTAGGCCCTGTACTAAATACATTTTAAAAAGACAAAAAAAAGTTTTAAAAATAAATTATTCTGTTAGTACATGTTTGTAGTACACAATATCTATAATCATTTTAGGAGTAAATGATTGTACTTAACATATTTTAATTCTTTCTTTTTTTTTCTACAGGGATTGAATTCAGGACCCAGTGCTTGCCAGGCAGGTGCTTGGGCTGCTGAGCTATATCCCTGGCCCTTTACTTCTTTTTATTCCCTTTCTTTTCCTCTTCTGTCCCCCTGTCTCCAGATTCATTTCCTCAGTTTCCACATGTATTTATTTTCCGTATTTTAGGACAGGGTCTACAGGGTCTCACTACACAGATCAGACTCAGTGATTCTCCTGTTATCAATCTCCCGAGTGCTGGGATGACAGGTGCGCGCCGCCACGCCCAGGCTCAATCACCATCTCAGCACCCTCCACAGGCAGGCCTGGCACGGCACAACAGGGATCTAACCTGGCCACTGCACTTGGCCTAAGCAGGCGCTTTAGTCCACTGAGCTATCAAGCCAGCCCTTTATGTTTTTCTCGTTATTGTTTGCAACACAAAATGACCATGTCCCTGTGGGTAGTTGGTACTTTTTGTCTTTTTGTGTCCATTCTTTTTATGTCCCTTTTCTCTTCTCCTCCTCCATCTCCTGGCCCTTTTCCCATTTGCAAAAGATCTATTTCCCTGTTTCCTGTTCCCTTTTCAAGCATCATCAGGAAAACAACACATCTCCATACATTGTGCTCCAACTTCTCAAGCCAAGACTTGATTAGTTTTGCCCAAGTGTGAGTCACAGTAAATCTTACCTCTGCTGAATCCCTGCCATTGTTCCTCTTGGAATTCTTTGAGCCAAGTTCGAGTGGGGAATATGTCAAAATACTTGGAGGCACAGCTGCTAAGAGGATCCGAGAATTTGAAGGTCACTTTTTTCTGCTCAAAATATGTTCAGTATTGCCAAGCATTTATATTTTAAAGATGGTAACAGGCAATTGATTTATTGTTTGTCATCAACCACAAAACATTTAATTAAATAACAGATTCAAAAAACCTTCTTCACTCATGGTTTTATTATTTCATGAGGTTGAATGCAAGCTAAAAGGATCTCAGATTTAGCCTTCTGGTTTTATAAAGTACAGAAAAATTAAATGATTTCGAGTAGTGATTTGCTCTCCATCATCTGACAGAGGGAATTTTTAAAAATGTGTCAAATCGCATCATACCCATTCAAAAATGTCCAAGGGCTTCCTAATTCATGTTGAGAAAAACCAAAGTTATTTAAGCTATATAAGCTACTGCTTCATCTGCAGCTTCCTTCTACAGCCCTGGTTAACCTTGTTCCTGCCATTGCCTTCCTCAGCCCGCAGGTTCATAGGAGAGAGCCTTCTGAAGGAGTTGATGCCCACTCTTACTGGGGCCTGCAGGACTGAAATTCGCAGGGTGGATTGGCAGGCTGGAGAGCAGGGCAGAGTTGATCCTATGAGGAGAGCCTAGAGACAGAATTCCCTCTTGCTGGCACCTTCTGTCTTTGCTGTCAAGGCTTTTAACAGTTTGGGTGAGACTCACCTACATGATACAGGACAATCTGTTTTAATCAAAGTCTAATGATTTTGATTTAAAATACCCACAAAAACAATATTTAGACTGATATTAGACCAAATAACTGAATGTTTCAGTCTAGGCATTGGCATAGTAGATTTACCAAACAGTGGTGAAGTTTGAAGAAAGAGGCATCAGAGTTAGGAGGAAATGGAATGGAGGAGAGAAGCACCATTTTTGGTGCAGAAGCAGCGGTGGGAAACAAAGAAAACTCTAAACTTTGGCCAGCCTGACCTCACCCTGGGGCAATTTTCTACTTTCTTAATTTTATACTTATGACTAGACGTTTCCCCAAAGCCTTATGCACTCATAGGTGGGGCCTTTTGGAGCTGGTAGGATTAGAGTACGTGATACTGAGATTAAGGGTGTGTGGTACTGATTTAGTCCACTAATTGGCATAGTTCTGGGTGTGGTTGAATGGATTTATTGAAGACAGAAGCCCCCTCCTTGGTGAAGTGGCACCACCCAAAATGCTTAGAGCCCAGATGGACTAAAAGGGATAGAGAAGCTCGCTGCTACGACTGCTGCCGCTGCCGCCTGCTGCCACTGCCTGCTGCCTGCCCTGCCAAGGACTGTCTCTCCTCTGCCACGATGCCCTGCCTTGGAGCCAGCCAACTATGAACTGAAACCTCTATAAGCTGTGAGCTAAATAAGGCTTTCCTCCTTTAACTCTGAGTATCCAGTATTTTGTTACAGCAACAAAAAACCCCTCAGTAAGGCTAGAGGGTTTTATTGTTCTGCTGTGTAAAAACGTAGTTGGCTCTAAACTCAGTAACCAGAGTAACAAGGTAGGCATAGTTAGTTGTTAGAGCAAGCTAGGGCCTGACAGCCAGGACTGCTGACACTCTAGCCATACGGCTTTAATATTCAATCAGCCCTCCATGCCTGGGAGATCGACATCCATGAAGCAGGCCAGCTGCACAGGAAGAATCAAAAAACTTGTGCCTGTGTTGAAGATGTACAGACCTTTCTGTTATTAAGCCCTAAATAATTTCATATGTCTGTTTATATCACATTTACAGTGTCTTAGATATGATAAGTAGTGCATAGATGATGTGAATCGTAGGGGAAGATGTACTAAGCTCCATGCAAACCTTATGCCATTTTATACTGGAGACTTCAGCAGGTGCGGGTCTGGGCAGCTGAGGGATTCCTGGATCCCAGTCCCCTACGTGTGGAGGGAGGGTATATCCAATAGTTACAAATGCTTGGCCTTATTTCTCCTCATAAGACATGTAAGATAGATGATATAGACCACAGGTATTAGAACAGAGGCATCCTTTATGCTTATGTTTATTCAACCTACACTTGTGTTTCCCCTACTTCCTGTTTCTAAATTATAAGACATAGCTTTATGCAGTCTCCACGTGGTGTGAATGCCAAGCACTTGGCTCCAGTGACAGCAACAGTGGTGCTGATCACGAGTGCTCGCCTGCGGCCACCGGGGGCACTAGCCCAGGATTCGCCAGCGCCACGCCTAAGTGAGATGCCCTTCTACCAATGTCGCCACCGGGTAGCGCTCTCCAGAATCACCACTCCAGCCCAGCCTGTTGGCGAGGCCAGAATAACTCTACCATGCTGGTATTTGGGTTATGCTGTACCGATACGATGCCTCTTCTACACTGTGCCCGGCACACGTGAGCGTAAGCCTGTACGGACATTACCTTTTTCAGCTCTGGGTAGCGAATATATCTTGATCATGCTCAAGGCCAACCACCGACTAAGTCTGGTTTTCTTAGAAGGAAATTTGTGCATTTTGCACTATATAGTTGCTATTTGGCAAAGCTACCAAGCAGAAGATTGGAGCTGTGAATCCAATGAGCTCCTTGATTTTATGAATTTTCTGACGTATTCATTATTGTCTTTTCATAGTCACATACTCTTTCTATTTCACTGTTGTTTTCTTCATCATTTGTCTAGCATATACTTTTGTCTGGCTTTTCCTGGGAAGGCTTGAGATAGGAGCTGCTTTGTTATCACTCTCAATATTCTTTGAGTAGGGACTTTTCCTAGGTTACTTTTGTGTGCTGCTCGTAACAACCTACTCGCTGGAGCAGCCACTCTGCTCTTTGTACAGTCTGGTTGGCCTTGAGCATGCTGAGTGTCTCAGTTCCTCTTCTCTCGTTGCTGGGACAAATACCCGACACCCGAAATGAAGGAAGGAAAGGATTATTTAGCTCACAGTCAGTGGAGGTTTCAGTCCATACCCAGCTGGCTCCAAGGCAGAGTGGTACATGGCGGAGGGCAACTGGTCATGGCAGCAGCAACAGAGCATAGAGCAAAGAGAGTGGTGGCATCAATGGCTACCGAGAGCAAGCCTGTCTCCCTTATGTTGCATTCAGACTATGGGCCAAGGTGGGTGTAGCATTCACACCCATAATCCCAGCAGCACTCACACCCATAATCCAGCAGCACTCACACCCATAATCCCAATGGATCATGGGTTAATCACAAACTCTAGAAGTCTTCCTCATGACTGCATGAGGCTTTGGGGGGACAATTAGACACAAACCATAGCACTCAGTAGTCATCATTTGGACTTTACAATTGAAGTAACTAAGGCTCAGCTAGGTACAGTGGCTTACATAAGGTGCCACAGTCCATAAGTGCCACGGTATGTCTTGTATACAAATTTGTTGGACTCTGTTACATATACTGGCTGATTTTCTCCTTTCACTAACAACAAGAGATGACATTTTGGGGACACTTAATTTGTACTTGTTTTACCCATTTGACAAGTACTATCTCATTTGATTTTTAAATAGCCTTACAAAAATAGGTACTATTGTAACTGTTATTTTGGAAAAGGAGGATGGAGGCACAGAGAAGCCAGGCAGTGAGTCAGAATCTTATACCTCGCTGCTCGCGGAGGCTACAGAAGTACAGGAGGTGCAGTCGGGACTCCCGTGTCCACACAAGGGACTGGGACTTGGAGAGGTGCATCATCTTTCTCCATTTGCAGAGCCGCTAAGCGGCACAGTTGGATTGCACCAACTCTGCTTCCAAATTTTATAAGAGTAGGATAAGAATTTTTTTTTTTAAAAGATTTATTTGACAAGTTTTACTTAGCGCAATACACCTAAAAGGAAATCGCAATACAATGAGTTTTATATCAAGGCCTCAGAATTTCATACAAACGTCAAGACCAAATTCTAAGGTATTGGTATTGCGTCTCAAAAATTCCCCATTAACTTAAGAAAAAAACTTACGTGCCTTACAGGTTATTAAATGAAACTAGAATTAACATGCCAAATATTTCTTTGAATTGTAGACACAGCTCCTAAATTGTACAAAACAGCATGTCTTTCAACATGCATCCAAACAGTGTTCCATGTAATGTAGAAGAGCAACATTTAACATAATTCAACTGCTTTAACCTAAATAACACTGCTTAAGTACATCCTACAATATATAACTACCTTGAGAAAAGCTGAAAATTGTTTAACAGTTACACAGCCTACTCATCTTCAATGTTATATCCTGGATAACTTGTGTTCAAAAAATATTGAACCTTGAGTCTTTAAAACAATCCTAATTTCCAATGGTAGGAGTAAGCACAAATCACAAGGCTGGTTTGCGAAAACTGTTAAACCAAATGAAGGTTTTTTTTTTTTTCTTTTAAAAAAGTTGGCCAAGAGTCAGTGACCAGGGCCAGTTACAGTGCCCAGCCACCACTCACAGTGGACATGCCCGACACCCCTCCCATGCCATTCACACCCACAGATGCACGGCTTCCACTACTGTAGTAGCTGCTGTTCACTGCTCCTTGGCTACCTATGCAATGTTTGATTGAAAATCACTGGAGTTTTCCTGTAAAACTTGGTCGTATCCACTCATGCTGCTCTGGCCACCATAGCCACCTCCGTAGCCACCACTCAGCTGCTGGCTGGCTGGGCCACCGTAACTGGACTGGTTTGACAAGCCCATGCCTCCCATCATTTGGCTACCATAAGCACCACCGCTTGCTCCTGCTGTAGAATTCAAGAAGAGTTCTACATATCTGTGTTCGTAAGCACCACTGCTTGCTCCTGCTGTAGAATTCAAGAAGAGTTCTACATATCTGTGTTCGTAAGCACCACCGCTTGCTCCTGCTGTAGAATTCAAGAAGAGTTCTACATATCTGTGTTGCATATTTGCTTTGTCTTTTGACATAGCTGCAACAGCATCTTCATGAGTTGCAAATTCAACATCTGCTTCACCAGTTACTCTCCCATCAGGACCAATCTCAATGTGTACTCTCACAGGGTTGAGTGGCGAAAAAAAATTATAAATATCATTCTCAGTAGCTCGGTAAGGTAATCCTCTCATGTGTACACAATGTCCGGTTGTGCTCTGGAAAGTAGATCCACCATCCCCATGTCTGTGATCAGACATTCCTGAAAAACAGTAATTGAGGTCTCTTCCAAATCTATCTGACCCAAATCCATAGCCATCATTATAGCCGTTATAATCATCATAGCCTCCATAGCCTCCGCCGTAAGCACCACGCCTCATCCTCTCAAAGCCAGCGCCTCTGCCAATGCTGTTATACCCTCTGCCAGCCCCAGGTCTGTCATAGGGACCTGGCCGCTGCATGGCCATAAGCTTTCGTGGTGGATCATAGTGAGTTCTAACTTCAGCCCGACTGCTCTTAAAGATCTCAATATACCTGTGCCCTATTCTTTCCTTGTGTTTCTTTAGAGCCTTTTCAGCTATTTCCTGTGAAGCAAACTGCACGAAGGCCTCCCCTGTACTCCTCCCCTGGAAGTCCACCGGCAATGTTATCCCATTTGGCACGATTTCCAACCCTGAGAAAAACTGAACAATTTCTTCCTTGCTACATCCAAAGGGGAGTCCTCTAAGCCGTACAAAGCCATCATTGGCCGTGTCAGGACTATTTGGACCAGTATGCTTCAACACCCAATCCATTTCAACGTTGTTTGACTTGAATACTTCAACGTATCTGTGTCCCATAGTTTCTCTGTCTTTTTTCAGGGCCAATTTGACTTCATCTTCTGATTCAAGTTCAACAAAAGCCTCGCCACTCTGTCTGCCTTCTCTGGTGTAGATGAAACGAATACCTTGAGCCCCATTTTGAATTTTGCAGTCGGAGAAGAACCGCTGCACCTCGTCGGCCGAGCAGGACCAGGGCAAGCCCCGCACCTTCACCACGAACCCCTCTCCGCCTTCCGTGCCCAGCATCATGGTCTCCTGGGGGATCCCGGGTCCCAGCAGGCTACACACACAAGCACGGCGCTCCTGAGGAGAAATGCGAATTTTTTGTTTTTGCAAGTAGAGTTCTTAATGGTTCTCGAAAGGTGTTAGAGTACTAGAAAAAGGACTCTGAGCGTTTCCTGTGTCTAAAACTTAAATGAAGTGAAGGCGAGAGATGTAGAGGAAAGACGTTAAGAACACCAAAGAGCTGCTGCACGCCATGAAGGGCAGCTGCGTTCCGCTGAGCACCGCGGTGAGAGGCCGCCCAGCCAGCACGCAGGAGCTGGGAGCCAGACTGCTCTTGGGGAGCAAATGCCACTAGCCATGGTGAAGATGCTTCCTAATCTGCGCATTAAGTATAACCTTTTAGGGCTATATCCTTCCTATTCCTTTTTCTCCAGGTGTAGTAGCCAAATGCCTCTGGTCACTTTTTTTTTTTTTTTTTTTTACATGTTTGAAATACAAATAGTCATGACATTATCGATATAATGTCATGAATTTGTAACCCCCAAGTTTAAGAATCTGCAAATTTAAAAATGCATCTCAGAACTTCAGACTTCTCCCGGGCCTTTTCTTTTTAGGAGTATTAGCGATGAAAGCATTATTATTTAGAGAGCATTTGGTTTTAGTCTTGACTACCTGGGAGTGAGCTACTGTCTCTGGTAGCTGTGGTTTCACCTGACAGACGCTCTGTCCTTATTTGTATGTGTGTCATGTGGGACAACAACAAAATCTCAGATAAAGTAATAATAATGGAGAAATTACTCTGTGGCTGAGGTCAGATATCAATTTTAAAACTCTATCAGGTATTATTTCTTTAAAATAGACAAAGAAATTAGACTGGCTGAACATTGCTGCGGCTGCCCACCTGAAGGAGGCTGCTGTTACACTTACACTGAGTATTACTGGATGTGGAAGCCATGGAGTGTATTTCAGAATTGCTGATCCTTCCGTTTCTACCTAGAATCAATAATTTCAAATTCAAAACACAAACATGACAAAAATGAACAAAATGGTTTCTATTGATATCTTTTAACCCTCTTTAAAATGTACACAAGTTGTTTATGCACAACAGTATCTTAAAGGATTTTTTATGTGCTTCTTATGATAAAACATCAGTTTTTAGTAAGAAAATCTATCCTGCAAATGTGCTTCTTTGTTTTGCTGCATATACTAATAAAATACATTTCACGTGTCATTTTTAAGCATACATTTATAGGAAACAAAGCATAGATTCCATTGCACCAGTGTGCTAGTGGCAAAGCTGTTAGAATTGATCCATTCTGCAAATTTAGCTGTTGAAGGAGTAATATTTCGGCTCTGATGAGATGTTATACCCAGCTCCGTAGAGTGCAAGGAAGATGAGGATTGAAATTCTAAGAGTTAAAGGTTAAATGGAGAAAGAGGAGTGAATCTAGAGCGTGAGCAGGAGCTTGTCATTGAAACAAACCAAAACTGAGTCACCGCAGAATCCGGAGCATATTTCAAAATTATAGCATTTTCACCTAAACATGGTATAGAGAAAAGGTGAGCATACCACATAATCCTCCATATAGAGAAAGGTTCACAGCAGAATACCCCAAGAAAAATGAATCACTAGAGTAGCTGGCAATATCTTGTAAAAACTCTCAAGGAAGATGGGCCAATGTAATCCTGTGAGCTCTCCGTGGGACTGGTGGAGAGCACCTCTGGGTGTGTGTGGGCAGGTGGTAGAGGTGCGAGCAGGGTACTGGGTCTGGCCCCTGGTGCTTCCTCTCTGGCACTGTCCCCGCACTGCTTCCAAACCCCATGAACTGAGCAGCTCTGCTCCGCCACACCCTTCAGCCATGGTGTCTCTGCCTTGGAGCCAGGTGGCCAGGGGCTGCATCCCATTGAAGCAGGAGCCAAGTTCTACCTGCTCGCCTTTACTCGAGGGTGTTGGGTGTTATGTCCAGCAGTGGAAGCACTGGCCAATACAGAAGGTGAGCATAGTGGGGTGTTGGAGTTATACACAGCTTCTTCAGGTGGTGAAATGTTAAAATAAAATCTCAGGGGGAAAACGTGGCTAATGATCCTTATGGGTCCAGTCGGAGACAGCAACAGCAACGGCAGGGTTCGCAGCAGCTGCCCCCTGTGTGCCCAGGGCGTTGCCAGGCATTGTGTGCGCCTTAGCTCTGATCTCATGAACAGCCTGGAGCCTCGGGCTCAGCCTGTTGGTCCCGGGTGGGGTCTGATGACGTGCTGCTGTGGGACTGCAGCACCTTCTCTTGGGGCCTAGGGCAGCGCCTGACAGGCCTGTCTCTGACTCAGAAAGGTCTAGGACTCCCCCATCCCTTCTTTGCCTCTACCTGGTGCATTCCCCATGGATCAAGGAACTCTGACTTCAAGTGCCACATCTGAGACTGGGCTGCATCTGCTAGCTGCTCCTTCCAAATCTTCCCCTCTGACCTGGGGCCTGGGGTTCCAGTCCTGCTCTGTCCTTCTTGCCAAGTCACAGCACATGACCAGTAAGTATCTAGGAGTCACTTCCCTTTGCCTCTAGGATGCGTCCTTCAGAGACGAGGAAAGAACTAAAGGTCGGAGTGAGAGACATGTCAGATTCAGGCAGTCAGGTGAGCCAGGAAGGGACAGTGCAGCGAGGCCGTGTCAGGAGACAGATGCCATCTCCACTGGGACCCCAGCATGGCCAAGGATGGCGCCCAGAGCAGAGGACCCTGATGAAATCTTGTACCCCCTGCTCTTTGCCCTCTTCTCTCTGAGGCATCAGCAGCTCACAGACGGCTCAGGGCCGTATGTGTGACTGTTACCTCGAGGGGCGCTCAGAGGTCAGCAGAGCACTTGATCTCTACAAGGAGAGGATGGAGGACTCACCACAAATGTCTTGCTAGATTGTACAACAAATCTCCAGGTGGTCATGCAAACCCAGGCTCTCCGCGGGCCTTGGAAAGCCTTATCCACCAATGTGTGCTATTTCCTTACTGTTCTTATTGGGCTTGTATTTCAAAGGCAGAGCCAGGTTTTGAGGGAGGGGTAGATGTTGAGCTAGTGAACTTTTGATGTGCTATATTACCTTCTGAGGTGAGAGACTGTCTCTTGTGGTGGTATTTTGTTCTTTTGACGGTGCCAAGGCCTCTTCACAGCTTTAGCATCTGAGGTTGTCAACAAAGAGCTTCACTCCGTGTTTGAGTTGGTGGTAGAAAGATGAGGAAGCTCTAGTTCCTGGTTTCCAGGAAACCAAAATAGAGCAAAGAGAACGTGGACTGTAGTAGATCTATTTTGAGGTGCAATGAAATGTTTGGGGTGGCCCACTAGAAGTCAGGGCACAGTGTGATGGATGGAGCACAGGCTCATCCATCCGTGTGTGCACCTGAAGCTTAGGTGAAGGTCACTACAGAGAAGGCTAAGTTTGAACGGTGCCTGACGAGGAAGCAGATGGGCTGTGTGCCAGCAAAGACCAAGATTTGAGAGGGTCATGCCTGGGCATGCGTGCTGCTTTGGGGACAGCAAGGCGTGAACTGTAGTAGACCATGTCACAGCTAACGGATGAAAGGGAACAGAGAAGGCCTATTTTTGAGTGGCCCAATAAGGCAGTAACTACAAGATTACAAAGAAGGAGACAAATTAGAGAAATGATTTTGAAAAGATAACAATGAAGCAGGCCGTAGCGATATACACCTGTAATCCTAGGGCTCTGGGAGGCTGAAGCAAGAGGAGCAAAAGTTGAAGTCCAGCCTGGGCAGTTTTGTGATACTCTGAAGCTCCAGTGATATAATCTGTTAGCATGCAGTACTTATAGAACTTAATGAGACCCTGTCTCAAAATTTCAAAAAAGGGATAAGGATGCAGCTCAGAGCAGAGGCCCTAGGCTTAATGCCCAGTACCACCAGAACAAAGCAGAACAAAACAAAACCTAAACCAAACAGCAGCAGCAGCAGCAGCAGCAGCAGCAGCAGCAGCAGCAGCAGCAGCAGCAGCAGCAGCAGCAGCAAAAACAACAAAAATTAGATGTGCCAGGACTTGATTCCAGATTAGAATAAAGAAGACCAAGGGGCCTGAGATGGTTCCCAGAATCCTGGCTTGGGAGACCAGATGGCTGGTGGACCACTGGTTAAGATAAAGTTCAGGAGGGGAACAAACACAGATATGGAGTGAGTTTAGATGGCTTTGAGACATCTGTGAGTAAAGCTGTAAAGCAGGTTCTTCTAGATCTTGGCAGGAATCTGAGCTGGAGGTCTGGATTTGTGTCACTGGATGTAGACAACCCTTGGAGAAGCCCCAAGAATGGACAAAGTCAGAAGGAGGGCACTGACCTCAGGAGGGATTAGAGCTATGACCCTGACAGTGCCCACCCAGAAGATCACAGGCCAAGGGGTCTGGCAAAAGCATCTAGAAGGAACAGCGCTGGGAACAGCTCAGAGCTCAGGAGAGCTGGTCCCGCCACCAAAGGCAGAGAGACCTGTGTGGCCGGATGACAAAGGAGAGGAAACCAGGAGGCAGCCAGGATGCTGAGGATGGCGTCACCAGCAGCGTGGAGTGGTAAGGGCAGAGTCTGCAGGCAGTCCCCTGAGCCAAGCAAGAGGAGGAGCTTGTGGAGAAGGCAGACGCTGAGGCTGGAGGGGGGCAGCGCCCAGGAGAGGGAAGGTCTTTTTCCCTGCATTGGCCCTGCTTGAGGACTTACATTCCTCATGGGGAGTGGATCTGTGCATGACAGACCTCTTCATTCTGTTTTCTGTCCCCTTTTGCTCTCTTTCCTCTATCCCCTGACACTCCTCCATTTTAGAAAGATCTATCTTCCTGTTTCCCAATTCCTGTCTTCACTTTGCTCTTTATTTTTCATTTGGGTTTCTCGTGTGAGAGAAACTATGCCTCACTGAGCTCATGTGTCTGATTTATTTCACTTGATAACATGGTCTCAAGGTGCAATCATTTTCCTAGGAATGAATGGCTCAAGTTTATCCCTTTTTATGGCAGAGTAGCCCTCCACTGTGTGGAAATACTACATTTTCTTTAGGACCCATCTGTTAAGGGACAGATAGGCTGCTTTCAAGATTTAGCTACGATGAATCGTGCTGC